GAAGTTTTGTCAAATTGTGCTGGATTTATTGTTATAATCAGGTAGCTGTCAAGAATGTCGTAGAAAAAGGCGCTTGCTGCATAACAAAGATGCTGTGCTAGGTTTAACTCAGACTATACTGCACACTGACACGAATTTTTAAATTTGAGTCAATAAAACCAGAATTGGCTACAGGTGTCACTACCATAAAGCAGAAAGCATCTTATTACACTGCAGTTCTGTTTACTAAAACATTTGGTTATGTTAATTTTCTCAATGACTACAGGAGGAGGCTTTCTTTCCTGTCTATGCTAACCTATTTGCAAATATATATATACACACACACCTCAACCTCCGAAACACAGACCTCTTATCTGTATTCTATTTCCAATAAAAATCCAAGCAAACCCTCATATTTTAATTGTACTTCAAGCTATTTTTTTAGTGATGACTCTTTTTTTTTTTTTTTTTGAGACGGAGTCTTGCTCTGTCGTCCAGGCTGGAGTGCAATGGTGCGATCTCGGCTCACTGCAATAAACACCTCCCAGGTTCAAGTAATTCTTTTGCCTCCCGAGTAGCTGGGACTACAGGTGCATGCCACCACGCCCAGCTAATTTTTTTTTTTTTTTTTTTTTTTTTTAGTAGAAATGGGGTTTCACTATATTGGCCAGGCTGGTCTCGAACTCCTGGCCTCATGATTCGCCCGCCTTGGCCTCCCAAAGTGTGGGATTATAGGTGTGAGTCACCACGCCAAGCCATGATGACTCTTTCTTAACAACGACTTCATCAGAAGTCAGTTAATAAATGTGTTACTCGGCTAGTGGACAAGAAATAACTGTATGTTAGTGGTTGAGAAGCCCCATGACTGCAGCATTTAATACCTACTGTTGTTCCTAATACCACCAGGATGACTCAGACTAATGAGCCCTCCAAGTTCCACTGTCTAATAAAGACCTGTCAAAGTGAAAGCTCACCAGTGGAGGCTCCAGAATTCATTCAACCACTGTACCTGCTTTTCATACATAAATAAACAGAACTGATTTTTGGGTCCTTTGCCACAATAAGATGCACTGAAAACAAAGCATCAAATAATTTTGGAAAAAACACTCCTTCCCTTCTTTACAGTGAAGTTTAAATTAGATCAAGAATGCTACTCACAGGCCGGCGCGGTGGCTCAAGTCTGTAATCCCAGCACTTTGGGAGGCCAAGGCAGGTGGATCACCTGAGGTCAGGAGTTCAAGACCAGCCTTATCAACAGGGAGAACCCCATCTCTACTAAAAAAAATGCAAAAAATTAGCCAGGCGTGGTGGTGCCCGCTTGCAATTCCAGCCACTCGGGAGGCTGAGGCAGGAGAATTGCTTGAACCCGGGAGGCGGAGGTTGTGGTGAGCAGAGATCATGCCACTGCACTCCAGCCTGGGCAACAAGAGCAAAACTCCGTCTCAAAAAAAAAAAAAATGCTACTTACAGAGATGTTCTGAATTAGTACAGGATCTCCTGATTCATCATAATAACTTTTCAACCCTGTTAAGTACCAAAACTGCAGCACAAAATCAGCCAACATGCCAACTTGGGGCAAAAGATAGTTCATCGGTTTTTGGCTATCGTGGTTATAACACCACTAAGTCTGAGGTACATACCAAATAATGCAGCTTCAAGTAAGCAGACAGCACTGCTCCACGCTCGACCCTCCCTGTAACCATCCAAAGTCAATACTGGTGCCCAGGACCCCTGAGTCCTTACCATTAACTGTCTCCGCCCCATTCCTCCCCGGTTCAGGAAATCACAGTCTCTTTGGCCCCAAGAATCTTAACCTGGGTCTTCATACAAGTCTCCAGGAACCTTAACACCGGCTTTCTCAGGTTCCCACCACCTAATACAAAGTTCACAGCATGCTGATGGCACTTTCCTTCAGAGCTTAGGCTCTCGACCACGCCCTCCCACCAGGCCTGTCCCCCTCCTGCCTGCACCCTGTGGAGGGAAAGCTCCCCCTCCTTTTGGTCACTCGGCCTGGCCACTCTACTCACAGAATAGCGGTGTCGGGGGGCAGCAGGCCCGACAGCGCCCTCCAGCTCGGTGCGGCCAGTTTCCTGCGACTGCAGTCCAGCAGAGGAAGGCGGCAGGAGCAGAGTGCGGGGCAGAGACCTGCTCCAGCGGCGGGCAACAGGAGGAGAGCGGTCTGGGCAAGGAAGATGAACCGGGAAAGCAATCCGGACCGACACCCCAGCAACTGCTCCTCCAGGACGCCTAGGGGCGCCGGCGCCATTTTCCCCCTCGACCTGGACCTGGCCTAGAAGAGCTGCCTGCTACAAAAGGAGGATAGGCAGAGAAGCTCAGCAGAGATGCTCGGCGGCTGCACTGTCTCCCGAGGCCCCGGCTGTAGGCTGTACCATCTAAAGGCATGCAAGGAGCAGACGTGCACGACACCGGGGGCGACCCGCCGAGGACACACCACTGAGGCCTGACGGACACCGATCATCCGCCCCGCCCCACGACGCAACGTCCTCACGCACGGGGGCCAGCCAATCGGTGCCACAGGATGAGGTTGCGTCGGGGGCGAAACTCAGTGAGGAGGCGGGGCAAGAGGCAGCCGCGTTCCTTTAGGAGGAGGATTTTAAGGTGTTCAGGGACTTTAGGTGCCGCTGTGGAGTTCCGCCGCTGTTCTTCCGCTGGAGGGCGCAGTAGTTCCTTAAGCGGGAATGGTACAGCGAATCGCTGTGAGTTCAAAGTCCTGATTACAGGTATATCTACCGTAGTCGTAGAAAACGATCTTTTATTTGCTCTGGGCGGTAAGAAGGGGGAGTGGCAGAAGGGCTGCCTTCCAAGTCGCAGTCACGAATGGGTCACGGGAGCTTCTATCCTGGCTTTGGCCAGATCGGCCTCCAGAGCCAAACTCGAGCCTCTTCTGCCCCCTGCTGCTTGCCTGTAGCCCCTGCTCTTCTGCAAGTAGGAGGCAACTCCCGCTTGCTTATGATCAATATCATTCTCTGTTAATGGCCTTGTAAGCTCCTGGAGGCAGAGGCCTTGTTTCTTCATTGGTGCACCTCCACCTTTTGTTCTAGCTTGGAGTTCAATAAATTTTGGTGGGACTGCATCTGCATGTCTATGTAAGAGAAATACACTTCTGTTTGGAGGGATGCTGTCCTGGTCACTCTCAGAAAAGCAAGCGAGACAAGTAAAGAGGGTGTTGAGCAGTCAACAAAGCAAAGACTGGATGTGAGGAAATTTATTTCTCCTAAAGCAAGAGGCTATGGAAAACTTACTAGGAACAGTGATGTTTGGCCACCTTATGCTCATTCAACCATCCAAGGTTGTATAAAACTTTGAGAATGATAGGATGGTTCACTTATGTGTAGTGAACTTTTCAAAGGGCGTTTGCATCTGTTACCTTGTTTACTCCTTCAGTGACCGTGACATTGGCAAGACAATTATTGCTGATGATGAAACAAGCCCAAAGAGATTAAACCAGGTTACTCTGAGGCAGGGGCAGGTTCGACACTAACATGAGTTTTCTGACATAAATTGAAAATCTGAGCAGGTTAAAAAGAATAATAATGCCTAGGTTAGGGTTGTCTTACAAAGTAACTGAAATCAATCTTTCCCATGGCAGATTTGGAGTTGTAATTATGTTTTCTGTTGTTGTTGTTGTTTTCTTTGTTTTGTTTTTTTTTTTTTTTTTTTTTTTTTTTGAGACGGAGTTTCGCTCTTGTTACCCAGGCTGGAGTGCAATGGCGCGATCTCGGCTCACCGCAACCTCCGCCTCCTGGGTTCAGGCAATTCTCCTGCCTCAGCCTCCTGTGTTTTGTTTTTTGAGACGGAGTTTCGTTCTTGCCCAGGCTGGATTGCAATGGCATGATCTCAGCTCACCACTACCTCTGCCTCCTGGGTTCAAGCGATTCTCCTGCCTCAGCCACCCGAGTAGTTGGGATTACAGGCATGCACCATCAAGCCCAACTAATTTTGTATTTTTAGGAGATGGGGTTTCTCCATGTTGGTCAGGCTGGTCTCTAACTTCCGACCTCAGGTGATCCACCCACCTCCACCTCCCACAATGCTGGGATTACAGGCATCAGCCACCGCGACCGGCTGTTTGTTTTGGTTTTTTTGAGACAGAGTCTTGCTCTTGTTGCCCAGGATGGAGTGTAATGGCACGATCTTCGGTCACCGCAACCTCTGCCTCTCCAGTTCAAGTGATTCTCCTGCCTCAGCCTCCCGAGTAGCTGGGATTACAGGCATGCACTACCACGACTGGCCAATTGTATTTTTAGTAGAGACAGGGTTTCTCCATGTTGGTCAGATTGGTCTCAAACTCTCCACATCAGGTGATTCGCCCACCTCAGCCTCCCAAAGTGCTGGGATTACAGGCTTGAGCCACCGCGCCCAGCCATAATTATGTTTTTTAAAAACCTTTTCTGTTTTTTTAAATATTGAAGTATATATTGGAATCTGGGCCATGTCCAATGCTCCAGTCCAAACAAAACTTTTAAATCCAAGACAGCAGAATGAAACTTACTCTTAGCCTTCTTCCCTTAGCTGTTGAGCAGACTTAACAAACTCTGATAAGAAACATGGCATAGGCAGGAGCCCCACCAAAAAAAGAAAGGAGGCAGTTTAATTTCTTTCTGCATTATAGTTTCAGAGCTCTCCTCTGAAACTACACCAAATGGGGCCATTAGAAATGAATGCTCTTCTAACCTGTATCCTCCCCAATACCTGGTACACATTACCCCAGTTAGAAGGAGTTCCTCCAGCTCCTAATTCCTTCTGCACATTGTTTTTACCACTCTGACAGCCCTTACATGCAATTTATATATCATTGTATTTCTCAGTTGGCTAGCACAGTGCCTGACACATAATAGACACTCAATAAATGTTTGATAAATGCATAGATGAGATTATCTTATATCCTACAATACCTATTTAAAATTGCCTAAATATTTTTAAGATTTTATTATGAAAAATGACAGTATACCTAACAATAAAGAGAATCATAGAATAAGCCCCCATGTATCTAACCAGATTTAGCAAATATATGTTTTGTTTTTATTTATTTATTTATTTTGAGATGGAGTCTCGCTCTGTTGCCCAGGCTGGAG